TTGTCGCAGCAGCCTCAGGGACAACGCGAAAGCCCCCTTGCAAGCCCCCCCGTAGTCATCGTCGTCACCCTCGAGAGCTTCGTGGTCGAGTACCATCACCGCCGACAGGGCCCGGCCCCAAGAACCCCCCACACACGCATACCACCAGTACGACCGGCAGGACCAGCCCCAGCCCCAACCCCAGAGCTCCCTCGCCGTCGCCGCCAGTGCCTATGGCGCCCACTCGCCCTCCACATCCCCGTCGGGCTTCCCCTCGCCCCTGGCCGAAACAGCATCGTCGTCGTCATCCCACTCACCGCGTCTCGACCATCGGCAGTCGATACCCGTGGCCCACCAGGCCCAGCATCAGGCTTCCTATCCCCCCTATGCGGCTGGCCTCGTCCCCCAGCGCAATGGACCACAGCCCAACTCGCAACCGATACGGGAGCGGCCGGTGTCCACCAGCCTGTACCAGCACCCCAACCTCTCCACCAGCTCCACCACCGCGCCGGGCACCTACCGATACAACGATGAGGCCATGACCATGGACGTCAGGCGCACAGCTAGCTCACGAGTCGCACCTGGCAACATGCCGGCGCGAGAAGCCAGCAGGCGGGACCCCTATCGCCAGTCGGCGCAGATGTCGGCCATGGGCGGCCCACTCCCTCCCCGTAGAAGCTCACGACGGATACCCATGGACGGCACGCCGCCAGTCATGTCCCACTTGTCGAGCTCTCCCTACAGCATCGAAGGCGGCCCGCTCTCCAGCACCGAGGAATGGAAGGAAAAGGGCGCGGCGGTGAGCACAAGACAGGACATGGACCAGAATGGGAGGCCCATCACGCGCGTGATGAAGAAGGGAGTCAAGGACTTCAACTTTGGAAGAACATTGGGCGAGGGATCCTATAGCACTGTCTTGGCAGCGACCGACCGCCAGACCCTGCGAGAGTACGCCATCAAGGTGCTGGACAAGCGACACATCATCAAGGAGAAGAAGGTCAAATACGTCAACATTGAAAAGGACACGCTGAACCGACTGACGGAGCATCCTGGCATCGTCCGTCTATACTACACGTTCCAAGACGAACGATCGCTATACTTTGTTTTGGACCTTGCAGCTGGTGGAGAGCTGTTGGGCTTTCTAAAAAAAATGGGCACGTTCGATGTCGAGTGCACAAGATTTTACGGCGCGCAAATACTGGATGCCATCGACTATATGCACAACAAGGGCGTCATACACCGCGACTTGAAGCCTGAAAACGTGTTGCTCGACGATGCAATGCACGTCAAGATTACCGATTTTGGCACAGCAAAGATACTAGACCAGAGGAAACCCAATGGTGTAGGCTCGACCACTGGTGATCCATTAGAAGGCGTCGACTCGGATCGTGCGCAATCCTTTGTCGGGACTGCAGAGTATGTCTCGCCCGAGCTGCTCACGGATAAGAACGCGTGCAAAGCAAGCGATTTGTGGGCTTTTGGATGCATCATCTACCAGTTGCTCGCTGGGCGGCCTCCGTTCAAGGCTGCAAACGAATATCAAACGTTTCAGAAGATTGTTGGCTTGGAATATACATTCCCAGACGGTTTCCCACCACACGCAAAGGATCTGGTGGAACGACTACTCGTTCTGGATCCATTGACGCGATTGCCAATGGAACACATCAAGAACCATGCCTTCTTCGAGGGTATCGTGTGGGGTAAAGGGCTGTGGAAACAAAAGGCTCCGAGACTAAAGTCTTACACTCCACCAGCGCAGGAGCCCATTAAGCTCAACGGTAATTATGCCGCTCCGCTTTCGAGTACTCGTCTCATTGGTAATTCAGCGTCAGGTCCATCAGAAACACGTGCTGTGCCTTCGAGCAGCGCGCAGCCCCGACCCAAGCCACGACTCATCACTGAACTGCCACCACCCTCTCAGCTCGACATTGACTGGTCCCCGGTACTTACGAAGAGGGATGAACGTATTCTCAAGCTCGGCAACTTCATGATCACCCAGCACCCAGCAGGGCACCCTGTCGGTGGGAAGGAGGAACCCATTGAGGCCCCCAAGAAGTTTTCGCGCTTCTTTGGCGGAAACACGATTAAGAAGCGATCAAGACTTGTCATGATCACCTCGAATGCTCGCGTCTTGATGTGCGCCACCGGTACCAATGATAAGAAACTCAAAGAGGAGATTTCTTTACTTGGTGCCGGTTGTTCATGGAGATCCTTCCAAGATTCAAAGGGCCTGACTGCCTGGCTCGTGGAAACAGTTCGTCCAACCCTCGTTGTCTTCGTCAGCCAAACTCGCTAACCTATTCCAGCGAGAGAAGCAATTCGTCTTTGAAGACCCAAAGAGTACTACTAGCGATCCTGATGGCAGCAAATACTCGAGCCAAGAATGGCTCGATAGCATCGAACAAGCTCGAGACTATGCCTTTTCACAAACTATGCAAAATTCATATACCAGCGATGCCGCCCTGAACGACCTAGGCTCAAATCTGCCTAGCCCAACGAGTACTCTTGGAGCAGACTCTGCTCTCGATGGCGTCAACATACCTGCATCACGACACGGCCATCTCCAAAAAATCCATGGCGACACGGAGTCTCTAAAGGGGAGGAAACGTTTCAGCAAGCGCCACTCCAAAAATGGCCTCGCTAACTTCTAGACCTTCATTACTTCAAACTATATACACAGAGTATACCCGCCCCCAAGGAGACAGTCCTGGGGACATTGCGCAAGAGGAAACGCCCATGTTCGCCACTAAATAAATATCAGCACAAACAAACACACACACACACAAAACAGAAAAATGGCATCACCATCCACTCAGCGATCGGCGTACCGGCGTTCTTCCATCTAAATCGGTCAATCCCTCTGTCCCTCCATCGACAATCATGGTGGTCACAATTCTCCACCCGACTTACTCCGAATTTTTCATTTGTGTAAAAAGGTATGGCAAACAAGGATCGGGTTTCTTTGTTTTCTTTTGTTTTTTGATGTTCGTTTTTTTCCCTGGCTTTCTGTGGCAAAGCGGAGCGTTGTGTTAATTCGTTTGCGCGGATTTTGGTGCATTTAGCGTCTTTTTCATTTGGTCTTCCTTTCCTTCTTGAGCAAGGAGGATGTGTGGGTTCGAGTGACACGGGCATTTGAGTTGTATGGCTCCGCAGCATGGTTTTGATTCTCGTGAAGTCAGGTTTGGAGGTATGGATCCTTGGAAGTAGAGGCAGAGACGCGTAGGAAGTGGCGGACCGGCATGCATCTATGGCGCACGGGCTGAGCGCTGTCAGTCAGGCTGGCTTTGCACTGCTCTCTTCCTGGTGCGGAGGCGGGGAAACAAGGGGCGATTTTGGTAGACTTGATTCGTTTGGAGGTATGGGATGAGTTTCCATGTGGAGCGGGGGTTTTAAAGGAATCAAAGCGAAAGAAATAAATTTAGATTGGCCCTTGATTTTGTTGCTTTGGCATCATATCTGTGAAGATAATGGAGATGATGGGGACTATGGGATGGAAATAGGCATCTGTTTGTGCGTGTGTGTGTAATACTAATCCTACACTACCCCCACCATCTTAGCACCATGCTGCAGGAACGCACCCCATGAAGCCCCTCCATTCTGTACTCGTACCATCCTTTGCTAATCCAAAGACTGCTAAACACAGAAATGAACGACACCCCTTCCCTTTTCTCCACGATAGCGAGATCCGGGACAATACATATTAGACGTAAAGGGAAAAGCTGGGCGCATGTTATTCAATCGGAACGGCTCTTCCTATGAAATGACTCATTTGTAGCATGTTACTGTGCTCGTGACGAATCTATAATTCGTTGCGATTAAGTGACTACTTAACTAGTCATGCGACTATACTTCAACTACACGTAGATACTTACCATGCCTCGGGGGGGGGAGATGAACTAACATGCAACGCGAGAACCTGGAATCGCAACCATGAACTAACAGGCATGCCAACCGACAGTCCTCCTCAGTATTCCAGAGACGAGAAAAATGATAGACATGGATTAGGAAAAAAAGAAGAACCATGCTAATGCAACCAATCCAAACCAATCAAAAAGGATATATCCCACCTAAATCCAGAGAAAAATCCAATCATATACACATGAACACAGGTCCTCGAACCAGTTTCTCCTCCCTCTCCTTGTCTAATAAGCGTCCCCAAAAATCTCCTTTGGACTCTGCACCAACTCCTCCTTCTTTGCGCGCCTTCCCTCCATCTTCGCAATGGCCTTACGGTCTCGCTTACTGACGAGATGACTGGGTGTAACAGGGGTAATGGGCGTAAAGGGCATGTATGGGCTATACGGTGTAAACGGGACCCCCGTCTTCGGTGTACCGAGCGTTAATTGATCCACGCGGCGGTCGAGGACTGTGGTTTGGATGCCGGGGGAGGCGAGTGGTGTGGCAAAGGAGCGGAGGGGAAGGGAGTGATTGGGTGATGAGGAGGGGGAGGAGGAGGATCTTGTAATGGAGATTCCGGGCTGGATTGACGGGTCGGCGAGACGTTGTGGTGCGGGCCGGGGTAGGGGTTGAACTTGGTCCAATTCTTCGGTGGGGTCATAGGGACTTGTGGGAGAATTCGTTTGCGTGGGCGGGGAGGGTGGTGCACCGGGCTGATAGAAGCGTGGGGAGAGCGGCCGTCTGGCCTCGTCGTCTGAAGCTTCTCCAGGGTACTTCTGAATGGGGCCCGAAATGCGCAGGTTCTTGAGGTTGAAGCGTGCAGATTTGCTACCGTTTGTTGAGTTGGAGGCAGATTGTTGCGAGCGCTTAGAAAGGATGCTGCGAGGGCTTGGCGGGGGGTGTTGCTCTCCGCTTCGTATGCGATCGCGTGGAAGAGGCGCGGTCGAGGGCCCATTTTTGTAGTCTGGTGGGTAAATAGCCTTGACGGGGGAAGCTGGAGTGTCGTCCTGGGAACGGGCAACGCTGATGGCGGAAGGTCTTCTTCGTTCACGACCTTGTGGTTCTCGCACAATGGGCACCTCGAGCGCCTCTACGCTACTTTGCGAGTTGTGCTTCTTGGCATCATGGTCCATGACCGCCGCGTAGAGTCGCTCCATTTCTGCTTGCGCTTGATCCCGTTGGGCATCGATGACTGTCTGGTCGAATGAGGTGGGAGACGAGACGATTGGACTTTGTGGTGTGCTGCCAACACCCGAATCATTCCTCTTAAACTTCTTCAGCCACGATGTCGCGGAGCGAGCTGATAGTGGCGGCGACGCAAGTCCATTCATACGAGGCGGCTTATCTTGCAATTCCAACTCCAATTCCTTTGGAGGTTCAAGCGCTTTTCGTCTCATCTTTCTACCAACAGTGAGGAGCAGGACTCCCCAGATGAACACCGTGAGAACGTAAGCACCGACAACACCACCAATCTGGTATGGCAAAACGGTCCGTTTGCTCGTTGCTTGAGACGGAGCAATCTGCCTGTTCTGTGCGGATGGAGTAGAATCACGAGAGTTGTCGGGAGAGGCGTAAGGTAGAGCAGATCCACCTGAGACAAGGAGAAGCAGTGAGAAGAGTGCTGGCAGAAGCGCTCTCTCAAGCATGATTGATATAAGACAGAAGAGGGAAAGGGAGGGGTTATCTTCTCATACCCCCCCAGTGATGTCGATCCAGGACCCAATGCGTAAGTGTAGTTGCAAGTTGTCCAGGATCCGACAGAGAGGAACCGGTTGAAGTGCAGAGTGTAACAGCAGGCGACATGGCGATATGAAGGATGAAGAGGTGGGGGGGGAGGGAGGGTGGCTTTTTCCAAATGTATTTCTAGCAGCGGTCTGCAAGTGGTCGGGTGCAGGAGAAGGATGAACAAGTAGGTGTGATGGGTGTGCAAGTGGTGGTTGTGGCCTCTGATTGGACTGGCTGATTGGGGAGCAACATGAAGGCGTCCAGTCGTTGCCCTCAATCAGGCGCTGAGGCGGGGTCGCTTGTGCACTGCTACTAGCACAGGAACGGTGCGCTGCCGACACATGGCTGCGGTTGCGCGGCCTCGATTCGGCGTCTGGAGGGATACAAGACTTTGAGAATGATGGTGATGGTGATGGTGATGGTGATGGTGATGGTGATGGTGATGGTGATGGTGATGGTGATGGTGATGGTGATGGTGATGGTGATGCTGCGGACAGATTGGGGGGAATGGGGTGGTTAGGTAGAGTATGGTACTGGTCAGGTATCGCGATGAGATGAGAAACAAACGTTGGACCCTTCTTTGAACACCCAAAAAAACAGCGAAACAGCGAAACACCAACCATACTACTACTAGAGTACTCTACCTCCAGGCCCATCTCCATGTACCTACCTACAGTAGAGTACAGTACAGTACCTGCTATTACCTACTACCAGTAGTACTACTATAGTCGGTACAACATCACATGCCCAAACGGCACAGCAAAGCGGTCCGCTCTTCCCGCTTGCATAATGGGGCCATGGGCCATGGCGGGGGGCCATTCCCTGCAAACTACACGACCGTCCTATAAGTAGTACACTCACACCTCGTGCCTTCATCGCCTCTGATTCGCCAGCTGTTTCCATCCTAAGCGCCCACCACCTGCGAATCAACCATTCCATCACTCTCCCCATCACTCTCCATCACAATCAGTCGCCACGAGCCTCGTCGTTGCTTCGTCCGCCCTGATAAGCAGCCATCGCCTAGATCCTCGCCCTACAGCTGCCATCAAGCCCTATCCTCGTCGCATAAAACACAAAAAATCTACGCGAAAACTGCCCACGATTCATGCGGAGAAGGCGAGTGGATTCACAATCATCTGCAGCACCTAGCTACCCCTACCTCCTTCTATCAGACCGTATCACCGCCGGCTCGTGTGACGGTGGACGAGATTGGCCAACGTAGGCTCGTCTTGGCTTGAGGAAAGAGATGCTCCGACGTCCATCTGAGGGTCGCCTGACCGGCGTCCATGCTTACAATGCGGTTGTAGGTAGCCAAGTCTGTCGAATGGGCAGAGGCAAGGCAAGTGAGTGCAAATGCTTGAGAAGAGGGCCGCTTTCGATTTGCATCATCATACGTCTGCCCGCGAACACCTGCAACCACCCGGATATCGGCGCACCTACTACCCAAGGATACATCATCCCGATGCTGGATTAGCCATGGCTAGCATCATATCTGCCCAAACAAGTTTCGGGAGCTTACCCTGCAATGACGGAAGCATAGGCCAGCGCCCTCTACTGCACCATGGCCACACATCGTGAGGAGACGGAGAGCCGTCGATCCTTTCCCTCATCTGCCCTCTGCTTTCGCGACAAGTCCCTCATCTAGTCCAGTAGGCTCCCAGATGCTCTTGTCTTTCTTGTTTTGCACCCACAGCACATCCCCTTTGAGATACGCGACCGCTCCTCCTCTACCCGTCGCGCTTGCCGTGATTCTGAAAAGTGGCAGCCCAGTAACCTCATGAGCCTCTCGAAGTGGTATCAGGAGCAGATTCTCCTCGGCACAGAATTCCTCTACCACGTCCTTGAACGTCGCTTCCTCAACTACCGGTGCAGGTTTGGGAGGCTCCTTGTTGACCGATTGGGAGAACTGGGGTGTTTGAGGGGAAGCTGCAGTACCGCGTGCGCGAGGAACTGGCAGATCGGTGGTCCGCGCGTCACCAAGATCCAAGGCTTGATTAATGAGCGTGTAGGCTTCGTTCCAACCAGATTCAACAGGTGGAAGACTGTTGATCTCATCCCTGAGTATCTCGTCACGCCACCATGCAATCCAGCCTTCGACTTCTTTGAAAACGACCTCTTCGCTCGACAGCCACTGGTGGATAATATCGAGAAACTTGGGGAAGAACTGCGCATGGAGCAACTCCCCAACAACCTGATTCGAAACGAGGCCTTTCCAGGCAAAGACAGTCTCGAGAGCGGCTAGGTCTTGTTCGGCTGGGTTGATTTCAAAATTATCCCTGAGGTGAGTCGCCAGGCGCGGTACCAGGTGGGATGTGATAAGACGATCAAATTCTTCTTTTCCAAAGACCTTGCGCCATTGTTCCATGCCAGGCAAAGGGCCCCTTGACAGGTCCATCGAATGTAATGCATGTCGAATCTTGCGCTTGATCTCAGCAACGAGACCAGATCCCTTGGGATCCAGATCGGCAGACTTGAGAAAAGGCAGCCATTCTACAATCCAAGTGTGCGGACTCTTCTTGAATTTGCGCGGATTCCACTCGTGGATAGAGGTGGAGAGCTTGCGTGTTATTTGGTCGAGTACTCGTTTGGCTACAAAAGGCGGCAGGACTGGTGACCAAGTATCTACGAGATGGACCATGGGATGTGGGTCTTTGACGTCCCATTGTGTCACCGCAGAGCTTACTGCAGGCAGCCAGAGCCGGAGCATCATCGTTTCATACGACGAGGTAGTGCCGCGCTTTATGGTGTCGACTTGATCAATGTCTGCGCGGCTGACCAACGCCTCTGAAGGGTAGGTATACGCCTGGGATGTGACTCTTCTACTCCTTGGTAGAATGATGTTTGCCAGCTCAGAGAAGGATGCTGCAATAAACTCAAGCGCATCGTCCAACGGCGACCAAGAAGCAATTGCTTTGGAGAAATGAGGATGTATAATGGCGATGGATTCGCGATGTAGTGGTTTTGAGGGATAGGCGGCACGCAAGCTCTTCAAGCCATTGCAGATTGAATCGAATGTGCCAGTCCGGAGGGACTCCAATCTTGCCTTGATGTCTTCAAGCTCATCTATTTGCTTCTCCAATGCCCCCAATTCCTCATCTAGGGCCCATTCTTGGGGAGCAATGGCTTTTGACTCAATATCCAGCTCCTCAAAGGCTTCCGAGAAGCTGTTCAAGTCCCTCCGTACGCGTGCCTGCAGCGAACTTTCAAAAGGCACAACGTTGGGTCCGCGAAGGGACAGACCGGAAGTGGGTGTAGACGTACCCGTTGTCGCATCGATTATGGACTGTAGGGCTAGAGGTACATGCATACCAGCTGCTTCCAATTCGAACAAGGTCTTCTTCGGCCGCACCGTCGGTGTGCGCGCCTCGCCTCGTGCCTTTGCCTTTTTTCTCTTGCGCTCTTCGCGCTCTTCTTCCGAGGTATCGACATACTTTTCGCCATTGGCCTCGGCCTTCTTACGCTCTTCCCTCTTCTGCTGTTCGCTCTTCTCCGCCACGATTCCAACACCGCCCTTGGTCCCGCGCATGACCACCTGAATGGGCTCCGCAATACCTGCACCCTCCTTTCCTAGACCGCCCTCGCCCTTGTAGCCCATCTTAGCCAGCATCTTAGCTCCAAAGCCAGACTTGAGTGCGCTGCCATCACTCGTTTTGGCCTTTTTGTTGTTGACCTCCTGTCTGAAGCTGCGTTTTCTCTTGGCTCCGTCGTCCATGGTGGCGATGGTGGTGATGGTGGTGGTGGTGGTGGTTGTTGTTATTGGCCGCAATGGTGTCGCAAGCTTTGGGGCGATTCTACGCTGGCAATTCTGTTACATGAACAGTGCCAGGCGCGTTGGATCCGCCGGGAAGAGTGAATGTCTGTCGGTGTTGGTGATTGGGAACAAGCTTGGGAAGAAGTGCCAGGAATCAGGTGCCTACCTGTCGGTAGGTGGAGCGGCGGGACTGCCCACACATGCATGCAGTGCCCACAGCAAAACGTGACTTGCGCCAAGGCTGGCAGCGGGCACTAAGCGTTGGGAGGTGAGCATGCCACCCATCTCGCGTTCTTCCGTGTGGTGGCATGTCATATGACCATGGGTTTAGCGTCGGGCGACTTGGGCTTTACTCTAAGTGGTTAGAATATCCCTGTAGGTTCAAGTCCACGTCACAGCGGCAAATTTTTATAGTTATATAAACTAGCCTATAGTTAAGTATAAATTAGGGTAATTTAAGCAAGTAAACGCAGTTTTTATTACTATCTTTTTTAAATATATTCTAAACCTATTCTTAATAATATATAGGTGTTCCTAAATACTATACTAGAGTTTAGTATAGTAGTACTAGACAACGTATCTAAACTAGATAGTAATATTAGAGATAAATTTAGGTAACTATATAAAGTGCTAGAGGAGGATAGTAGTAGTAGCGTTAAGGAAGTAAGTAAAAGTAAATAGAATAAGTTTAGAATAGGTTAGTAACACGTTATAGGGGCACAATATATACCTTACTTATAGTAATAGTTAAGGACTACTACTTACACTAGTAATTATTAAGTATATAGCTATTCTCCTAGTATACCCTTAATTACATAGCTAAGGGTATAGGTATATAATACTAGTTTAGTAATATAAAGATAGCTCTTACCTAATAAGAGAAGAGGTGCTTATACAGGCTATATAGGTAACACGTTAAGAACATGTTCTTAAATTATTCTAATTCTAGCAGGTATAATACTCCTGCTAGTCTATCTATCTTAATAGGCCTACAACTTTACTATTCTTTAATAGCTAGCTAGCAAGCTAGTATAAATACTAATACTCTAGGGTAAAAGCGTGTAAGTATCTTAAGAACACGTTACAAATATATTCTTATTATATTATTAATAACGCATTATATAATTAGATCTAAACCTTAAAAAGTGTAGTACCTAAGAAAATTCTATAAAGAGAACTATAAATAAGAAGCTATTATTATAGCCTTATTAAGCGCTTCTCTTTAAGGATTTATAAGGACTACTAGGTATCTTATTATCCTATAATAAGGACTATAGTAAATTAGGTAGGGAGCAAAACTTAAACATGTTTAAAACGTGTTAATAATAAGTTAGTAAATTATAGAATAGGCTTAACTATATATTAGCTATTAGAACTATAGCCTAATATCTACTACTAGGAAAAAATATTATTTTAGTTAGGTACTACTAGAGGTAGACTCTATATATCTATAAGGTCTTCTAACTAGGGAGATATTAAATCTTTCTAGTAGTCCTGCTTTATATTCTGTAGTTAAGCTATAGTTAAGCTAGATAAAGAAGTGTAGTAGGTATATTGTAACCTATTCCTAATATATTCCTAACATGTTCTAGGCGTTAATTATCTATAAGGGTAAGGATCTCTATTTAAAATCCTATGTAAAGTTACCTTCTAAGTAATTATACTAATAGATATAGTAGTAATACCTTTTTTTACTATTATTTCTTTTAGTATATATATATATATACCTCCTCCTCCCTTAACACTATCTAATAGTAATATTAAGGAAGTAGTAAAGGTGTTATAGCCTATACTTACTCTATAGCTTACGTAATATAAGTTATTTATAACCTATTATAAATATGTTCCTAACTTATTATAGCCTAGTTCCTAAACTTAACCTAGCTCTAAACCTATCTCTAACTTAAAGGTTTCTATTCTATTAAAGAAATATATATTAGCTTTGCAAATAAAGATAAAATCTTGCGTATTATAAAGCGTAAAAAGCTTCTATAGTTCCTATTTAAGAGTAGCCTTAGAGGAGTACACTATAAGTAGAGGATAAAGTATTAGGATCCTAAAACTATACGTGGTGTAAGAGAATAGGTTTAGAACACGTTGCTAACACATTACTATAGGCGTATATATAGCAAATCTTTATATTAAGCTTAGGTAACTTAATTATTTACCTTTTTAAAGAGTAGGTATTAATTCTATTAGATTAAGATATATTCTAGATAGATATATTATATAAGAGGTTATATAGGGTATAGGTAGAGATTCTAATAGTAATCTTCTACCTATAGGAAAAGAAGCGTACGCATTAAGAACAGGTTTATAACACGTTTCTAACACATTATAGTTATTATACTTAGCTAAATTATTATAGATAAGGATATAACTAAGATATATTAAGTTGCTATTACTAACTTCTTTTAGAAGTGTAAAGCACTTATAAAAAGACAAGTGTTATAGAGGTATATTTACTTATAGGGATTCTATAGGACTACTATTAATATATATAATAAGTAGATAATAGGCAAGTTTTATAGCGCACTATAATATATTTGTAATGTGTTTCTAACTTGTTTCTAGGACTTAGGCGCTATCTCTAGTTAATTAATCCCTATAAGCGTAACTAGCGCTAGCAACTTTAATCTTGTATAAGATTTTATTAAGTATATCTATAAAGAAGTATTTATAAAGTATATAAAAGAGAGCTAGATAATACTACCTCTTTATATCTAAGTAAATTACTATAGGTATTAATAGTAGAGGAATACTTTTAGCTTACTAACCTCCTCTTATATAAGTAAATATATTCTAAACCTATTCTAAACGTGTTCCTAACTTATTCTTATATAATTAGAATACAAACCCTCTAAAGATACCTAAAACTAGGCAATCTATAAGAAAAACCTAGTAATTGCTACTAGGATTGTGTAATACTATAGTAAAATATTAAAAGAGGTATAGGAAAAACTAGAATCTTATTTAAATATAGCTAAGTAAGCAGGCTAGAAAGGATATAAAACTAGTAAGTATATAAGTATTCTTAAGGCTACTTAGAAGTAAGTTTATAACCTATTCTTAACCTATTAGAATTGTATAAGTAATATTATATAGTACACACTAGATAGATCTATAGGATATAAAAGAGTTTAAAGCCTAGAGCAAGTTTAGAATACGCTATAACTATAGAACTCCTAATAGGCTTAAGCAAAGGTACCTTAAAAAGCTTTAGAGGGGAGAAAGTAAGTCTTATACTAGCGTTATACACATTTACTAATTAAAACGTGTTTAGAATATATTTAGAATATATCTTATAATAATAATAACACTCTAGATAATAATAAAGCAAGTCTTGCTATATCTAACTTAACTAGATATATCTTAGTCCTAATAAGAAATAAAAGAGCACGCTTAAAAGCCTAAAGCTAGAGGGCAAGTAGTAGAGTAGTATTAGAAAGAAGTTTACTAGCCCCTTTTCTATCTTCTCTACTACTAGGCTCTTCTCCTCTACTAATAGTAACCTAAAGGTATGCTTCGCGAAACACGTTTATAACACGTTCCTAACTTGTTATTAGTCTATAACTATAAACTTTATAATAAAAGGCTCTTCTTAGTAATTAGGCTCTAAAGGAGAGAAAAGAAAAGCTAAAGGTAGATAAGGAAGAACTTATATAGAAAAAGGCACTATTTAAATTGTAAAAGGTATAGTTTAAACTTAAGAAAGAGATAGCTACTTTTTATATAAGGTAGGGTTAGTCTATAAATATAGTAACTAGTTCCTAACTAGTTCTTAATATATTCTAGTCTATTATATAAGTATATATAAGTAGATAAATATATATTCTTTCTTCTTCTCTTTCTTCTTCTTTCTTCTTATACTCTATAAGAACTTTTTATATTTAAGAGTTTAATACTATTTTACTATCTATCTTTCCTAATATTATTAGATATAACTAGTTAATATAGTCTATAAAGATCTTTTAAAGTTAGTATATAATAGAATACGTTAGGAACATGTTATAAACTTGTTCTAATACTAAGTAGGATTTATACTAGCAATATATTAAGCTTAAGTTACTTCTATCTAATACTAGGGCATTCTCTCCTACAATATCCTACCTAAATAATAGGTATATAGTATTTCCTAGCAAGCTTTTCTACTAGGCTATTTAGGCTAGATTAGGGGTATAGGAACTTTATAAAGTATATATATATGCAAGTTAAAACACGTTTATAATATATTAATAACTATTTTAGTATTGCTTCTTTAATAGAGGTAATCTTATCTACTACCTTAAGAGGTATTATCCTAAGGTTTAAATAGCCCTAGTAAACTATAGCAGAACTATAATATAAGGTATTATAGAAGCAAGGATCTTCTATAGGAGCTTAATAGTAAATACTTAAGAACGTGTTCTAAACACGTTAATAATACGTTCTCTACTAGTAGAGTAGACTACACTAAGTGCCTCCTCTAAGGTTTAAGAACCCTCTAAGATAGCTAGTCTATAATAAGAAGTGGTAGCTAGAGTAGAGGCTAAAGAGGAAGTAGAGAGTAAAGAAGAGGAGCAAATAGTTGCTCCCCTTTACACTATAAATAATATTTAGCAAAAGTAGTAAAAAGGAGATATAAGTCTAGTCTCTTAAAACACGTTTAGAATATATTAATAATACGTTATAGCTAGACACCTATAAATACTAGATTCTTCTTTAATCTAAGGGACTACTAGAGCTTTATAATACCTATAAAAGTTAAAAGAAAAAGTTATATACTATTAAAGGACCCTATAAAAGTAAATAGTACTTTACTTTTAGTAGATAGAAAAAAAAAGAGAAGAGTAAAGAGTTTATTTTAGTAATTACTACTACCCCTTTAGGTTATATGCTATTATATATTATTTATTAGAACCTATTCTTAATATATTCTTAATATGTTCCTACTTATTACTATTATTATCTCCCTCCCCCTCTCTAGTATCTTCTCTATCCTCCCTATCCTCCCTAGGCTCTATAAAAGCATACTGCAAGTAGAACTAGGTGGTATTCTAGCAGGAATTAGCAAGGTCTATACTAGTATTAAAGTAATAGTCTTAAAATACGTTAGGAATAGGTTAATAATATATTGTAAACAACTTACTATAGCTAGGATAATTATAAGCGTAGATAGTATAAGGAACCTAATAACCTTAAATCCTTAGCAGGGTAGATATAGTAACAAAGTTAAGCTATAACAAGTTA